GAATCAGTCCAGGAACTTCCCTGGTGGTCCAGAGGTTAAGAATTCACCTGCCAGTGCTGGCTTTGGCAGCACATAGACTAAAATTGGAATGATACAGAGGAGATTAGCATGGCCCCTGCGCAAGGATGACACGCAAATTCGTGATGCGTTCCATATTTTTAATAGATCGCCAACGGGAATTTGCTGTATGGCTCAGGAAACTCAAGCAGGGCCTCTGTATCAACCTAGAGGGGCGGGGAGGGGAGGGAGATGAGAGGGAGGTTCAAAAGGGAGGGGGTATGTGTATAGCGATGACTGATTCACGTTGAGGTTTGACAGAAAACAACAAAATTCTGTAAAGCAATTATCCTTCAATTAAAAAAAACAAAAATTGACCTGCCAATGGTCTAGATCCCTGGTCCAGAAAGACTCCACATGCTAAACCAAAAAGACACAACTACTGAAGACTGCACCCCTAAAGCCCGTACTCTGCAACAAAGACCCAGCACGGCCGAAAAAAAAAAAAGATAAAAAAAAGATGAACAAATGCATTTTAAAGTAGTGTCTAATTTTCTCAAAGGAAAATCGCTCACTTAAAACAATTAACCACTCCAAAAGGCCCACCTCAGTTGATCTTTCTTCCTAGCTGAATATTTTCCTTATAAGAATTAAAAGCTGATATTCACAGAACATGCTTAAGCCTGATTAAATAGAAAAGTGACAGCTTTACTTGTACAATACAAACCTCTAGTAAAAAAAATCCACCCCAAGTGTACAAACTTCACATGGCTTTACATGACTTGCCTTCCTTCTTGCAATGCCTTCATTCCAATTAGTAGAAATCAACCTTGTCAGTAAGAACTGAGAGGTTTAGGTACAGAATTCTGAGATTCTTGATGTCTCAAAGATATGAAATAGATGCTTAGATGGACTCAACTGGCAACAAAATCCTGGCTCTGCCATGTACTGTAGAAACTTGGGATCAGTTATTTTAAAAGTCTGTTACTTCATCTGTAAGATGGGGATTAAGAGTTATGTGTAAAGTGCTTAGCAGCATGACTGGCACATAGAAAGCTGCAGGGAAAAGACTGGGATCATTGATAAAAGCAGTGTTTTGACATCATCAAGAGAAGACTGGGAGTGTTGATAAAAGCACGGTTAGAGCTGCCATTATTATTTATTGCAGGGGACTATATGCAGGAATGCAGAAGACCCAGGTTTGAACCCTGGGTTGGGAAGATCCTCTAGAGCAGGGAATGGCAATCCACTCTTGCGTGGAGAATCCCAAGGACAAAGGAGCCTGGTGGGCTATAGTCCACGGGGTTGCAACGAGTCGGACATGACTGAGAGACTAACACTAATATGCAGGAAAGAAAGATTTAATTTATGAGACCTAACATGACCACAGCAACAAAAGATGCTTGCTTCTTGGAAAAAAAGCTATGACAAACCTAGACAGTGTTGTATTAAAAACAGAGACGTCACTTTGCCAACGAAGGTCCATACAGTCATAGCTATGGTTTTTCCAGTGGTCATGTATGGATGTTAGAGTTGGATCAGAAAGGCTGAGCGCTGAAGAACTGTTTTTTAACAGTGGTGCCAGAGAAGACTCTTGAGAGTCACTTGGACAGCAAGGAAATCAAACCAGTGAATCTTAAAAGAAGTCAACCCTGAATATTCATTGGAAGGACTGGATGCTGAAGCTCCAATACTTTGGCCACACGACCTGAAGACCTGACTCACTGGAAAAGACCTTGACGCTGTGAAAGATTAAAGGCAAAAGGAGAAGGGGACGACAGAGGACAAGATGGTTGGCTGGCATCCCTAACTCAATGGACATGAGTTTGAGCAAACTCTGGGAGATAGTGAAGGACAGGGAAGCCTGGCGTGCTGCAGTCCATGAGGTTGCAAAGAGTTGGACACGACTTAGCGACTGAACAAACGTTTAAAAGAACTAAAGAAATATCTTGCTCTAAGTAAAATAGTGAAATAAAGATACGTTTAGCTAAAATGGATACTGGGGGAAATGTGACATCACATGAAGGCCCCCACACTGGATTGGAGGGTGTCCCCCCACCCACAAGACATACTGTCCTCTGTGCTGGCGAGTCACACAGAGAGCAGACCCAGTGTTCCCAGTCTTCCCAGAGCCAGGGGCTTCTCAGGTGAAGACCACAGACAGGAGCCTCATCAGCTCTTTAGGAGGTCTAGATTGGAGGCCCCAAAATCAGGGTCCCAGGAATCTGGCACCTGTTGTTGATATCTTTTTTCACAGCAGGACTCGATATGCCAGAGCACTGAACCATGACTAGCAGACAATCTGATGGTGCACTCACTGCCAGGCTCTTCTAAATAAGGCCCCCAGTGCTGGCTCATTACGCCCAGTCTACCCACCATCTCACAGTTCCTCTCCAAACTTATCCTACTGCAACAATATACCTTGGACAACTTGGCCAACACCTTGCTCAGCTGAAGAAGAGTCCATGATGATAAATTTTACTTAGTAAGCAAAACTTGTTTTGTCGTTTGTTAATGGCTTTAAAAAATTTTTAATTGAAGGATAATTGCTTTACAGAATTTTGTCTTCTGTCAAACCTCAACATGAATCAGCCTGCTAATGGTTTTTTAAAAGCATGTGTTTAAAAAAAAAAGTAGGTTTTAGATGGGATAAAATAAATAAAACTTTAGTCCATCATGCTGTTTTGAGCCAAACTCTTCACTCTGAAGCAGCAGCTTCCTCTAATTAGGGTTGTATCGATGAGGGTAGAGAGCGAAGACTTTTGCTTTGATGTCACTTCTCCAGGGTTGGCCAGGCGACAGTTTCTCTTGTCTCTGTACACGACTCAGCAGCAGGCATGCATGGGCTTCTCGGCAGAAGGCTGCAAACCTGGCTGGCTTTCACACACCAGTCATTTGGCAGAAAACTTGGCCCGCGGGCAAAACACTTTAAGTGAATTTCATGGGTGTGGAGACATCTATGCAATGCCTCCTTTCTCCTTCCCTTTTAGAAATGCATGTGAGCTGCCCAAAACCCATTTCGCACAGAAGCGGGTGCTACTTCTGGTATTGAAATGTCTCACTTTACACTGGCTGTCCTTCGGCGTTACACCTCACCTGCCCTCTCCCCGCCAGAATGCAGAATTTTGTGCATGGGACCAGCGGCAATACAGTCACAACATTTAGGTTGTTTTCCAGATTGGCTGCAAAAGCTAACATTATCTTTTCAAGTGGAAATAGTGTTTTTATAAAAGATCTATTTGTATAGCAGGATTTTTTTCCTCCAATGATGACTATTTCACATATAATACATCCCCTCCACGGAGAAAACTTGAATCCTTTGTCTCTAAAAACGGTCTCTTGAGACTGAGTGCTGTTGATTAATGAACTGAAGTGAAGGTGAAAAGACAAATGCAATGAGGTGTGGTTCAACTAAGCAAACTAAACCAATTTGGGGACCATTAGAGTTTAAAAAAAATAGGGGGAGAAAGAAGGGTGGAGAGAACCTGTCTGGCATCCTGCAGGGCAACAGGATAGGGTGGGAGCAGGGACAAGAAATTTGGGGGAGATGCTGCTCATGTGTTTATGTAGGAAGAAGGTACAGAAAGGGGAGCAGTTAGTCAACTGGCCCTTTCATGTGAAGTGACATTCTGGAAACCGGACTGACTCGTTCAGTGCAAGCTGGATTTCGAGTGTAGGCAGACCTCATCTAAGCCCAAAGATGTGTTTTTCTCTTCTGTCCAGCAGACAGACTCCAACCCCTCCCACAGGCTGCTTATCAGTGGGCCCATTTGCACACCTGCTGGTGCTGGGCTGAACATCCATGACCTTAAAACGGGGTTTGGGGGTTTCAAGATGAAAAAAACCCAAAGATCTCTCGTCGGTTCTCATCAGTCAGGTGACCAGAAAGTATGTAAGCATGAGAGCAACCGAGGTAATGACTGTTCTTGTTCTCTGTAGACAACAAAAAAGAACAGAGCTAGATATTAAAGTGGGGCTTCAAATACACTTAAAAGAGGTTATGTATCTATCTGTATTAGTAATGAGACAGGGACACAGCGGACTGCTGAGTATGCTCTGGAGGGCCACTTTAATCCAAGCATCACAACCTCTCCGTAATGGAGACAGGAAGACAATTCCTTACTTTGCAGAGGTAAGGATGGGGGCAGCTTTGGGGGTCAGCTTGAGTTGTCATGTCAGGAAGGCCCAGCAGCATCAGCACCTGTGGGGTCTGAGTATGACATGACATCCTATGGTCGGTGGCGCTGAGTGTAATGTGAACGAGATCCCCTCTGAGGGCCTGCGAAGGGAGTCTCAAAACCAGCACTGTTCTCCACTTGATCACATGCCATTTTTCATAGTGTAAAACATGATTAAGCAAAGTGCCAGAAAATCACAGGAAGTAACATGCAGATGACTGTGACTTCCCACATGCCTTCCAAGGGATCAGGGAAACGATCTGATAGGCCTTTTCCATCCGTAACAACCCTGCATGTGTTTAACTTGGTGGGAATCTTCTGGGTACAAGGCTTCAAGGAACAGAATTTCTGAGGTTGAGTGTATATGGAATACTAACATGATGCACCAGAAGAAATGACTGAGGCTGATTCTCAGGGATAAAAACCACCCCTGCTTCACCTCTTATTTTTTCCTTATATTTCCAAATTATCTGAAACACCTATCCGGAAACAAGCCAAAATCCCTCCTATTTTAACCTCCCTTGGAACACAGGAGAATCTAAACAGCTTGTTACAACTGCACTGCAGACAGAAAGCAATCAGATTCGAAGCAGCCGAGTTGGCAGAGCTTGGCAGAGGCAGGGTTAGGAATGCTGCAAGTTCATGTCTGTTCCTCTCCATTTCTCTTGGCCCAAGATGCTCTGATTTTATCAGCATGAAGATATTAAAAAACAGCTATGTGTGAGAAAAGCCACAGAGCCTCCTCCTCGGGCCAAGTCATATATGTCTAACACAGTCCCAAGTGGGCAAGAAGTGTTTCCAGGCAGTCACCAGAGTCAAAGGTGGTCTTCTTGAATGTGGGAAAAATCTCACTTTAATTGCAAATGACTTCATTTACAAGCACATCCAATAATGAACAAAATAAAGAGCTGTGACTTTTGAACGTGTAGATATATAAAAACCTCTGGAAATTCAGGTAGTTAAGATAAGGGTATTTCACAAGGAAAGCAACCTCCCCTCCAGTCCCCGCCTCCCATTTTTCAGAAGACTTTTAAAAGATCACAAGGCATACTCAGAAGTTCACAGTAGCAGGTTGACCTTGTAGGGAGAGAAGAAAACCTTCTTTCATATTGTCAGGTAAATATATATCAGTAATTCCACCTGACAAAGGCTGGTGGTGGGTGTCCTCCCCGAGGCAGGCGAGGGCAGAACACGGAGCGAGAGGGGTTTCTGAGCGGGGACGGGAAAAGGGGAGCAGAGAGAGACTTGACACCACAAAGGACCAAATCCATCAGTTCCCCCCACATGCCACACTGTGACCCCAGACGCGCGCGGACAAGAGCAGCCACCAGGGCGGCCACTGACTGTCCGCCCTGCCATGGATTATCAGAGGGTCTCAGTTTGGCCCACGATCAAAATCCTTGACCAGCAAACTCAAAAACTGTCACCGAATTTAAAGCATAACGTAAATGTCTAAGGAAATTCTTGTTTTATTTATGTATTTATATAGACTCCTTACACAAATAACATTCCTGTCCTCCTAAGGGTTTCTTCTATAAACTGGAATGGCCAAGGAAAAGCACTAATTTTGACTTGATTACACACGTTCAAAAGAGAAACAGGGAGTGAAGAGAAAAGCATTGGAAAGTCTTCGACTCTGGGGCTCAGCACGTACTACAGACACCGCGGACAAAAGATTCATCCGGGTTGTCGGGTAGCTCTGATGCCAAGGGAAGACTAGGGGAGCCCCCCCCACCCCACCCCACCCCACCCCACTGAGAGAATTTCTACAGTTACTCTATCATGGTGCTCCAGCTAAAGCATAGGTTTTAAACTACAGAGTTTCAACTTAACATCTAAAATTTTAAACTGTAGCATTTCTGCAACAGATAAGCTCAGAGAGCTCATCTCAGAAGAAAAATTAAAGAACTATTGCTCTGATGATGAAAAGTCCAGCTGTCGCTCTCGCTCGGCCCGACTTCCAGGCTCAGGCAGACACGTACGGGGGCGGCGGCTCCTTTGTGGCGCTGTTCACAGTGGCGTCATCGTACGGGGGTAACAGCACCTGGGGAGAAGAGAAGATGCGGGTCAGAAGTTAAGGGTGCACACCTGCTCCCCTGGGCTTTATTTTAGCTCAAGTTTCCCCCCTGACGTGTACCCATATCAACTGTTCAGCAAGTGGCTGCATTTTGGGGGGAGGAGAGATTTTTGAATCCATAAAGAAAAGGAGAGAGACTTCTGGCCTTCTCTTGAGTTTTCCAATCCTTGTCCACTTGTACCTGGATGTCACAGTGCCTGAGGGGGCCAGAGGGCTGTTTCTAGGACAAGGAAGCGGGTGGAAGTGACTGAAAGGAACAAAGGCTCTGGGGTGACGTGTATATGTGTTCACACAAGTAGGGCAGGCGCCTGACTGACCACAGGGCCGCGGGTGGTGAGACATGGGCAGTGAAGCAGGCAACACAAGAGCTTTGGTGTCAACCTGGACTCCAAGCGGGGACGCAGCCACATCCCATCAGTATCGCCACGGGAAGCGAGCCAACGTCCGTTTCTGTGTCTGCACCACAGGGATCCCTGAGAATTAAGAGGTCTAAGACACCTCACATGCTGTAATACACACCTGACCAGGCTGATGGTATCTGTAAATGGCTGGAGAGGAAGGCACAAAAATCCTAAGCTCATGAACAACCTTTCTGTTCACATTTCAAGGACAAAAATAACTGCACATAACCGTTTATGAACTGTCAACATAAGAAGACAATGGCTGACTTTGACTCTGCGGAGTATTTACAAAAGAGAGAACATCAACTCCATGTGACTGGCCTCTATTTAGTCAACTAACATTTATTGTACACCTACTATGTGATGGTTCCTGCCCTTAGGAATTCAGAGATGAGATGCCTTGAGACACCCTACCCAGCTCAAGGTCTTTGTGGAAAGAGAAAGATATTCACAAATGAAGTGGAACAAAAAAAAAACACATTTTGTTATTAATACTTATTAATACTTTTTCTATTATGAAAGTGAAAGTCGCTCAGTAGTGTCTGACTCTTTGTGACCTACAGTCCATGGAAGTCTCCAGGCCAGAATACTAGAGTGGGTAGCCTTTCCTTTCTCCAGAAGATCTTCCCAAGGATCAAAGCCAGGTCTTCCGCATTGCAGGCTGATTCTTTACCAGCTGAGGGGGAAGCTGGTAAGGAAAGCTCTTCTATTCTATTATGGACATGACTTAAAGTGGTAAATGGCTATCAATTCCATGAATTACCACGCCTAGTATCTATCCCCTTTGGCTCCTAGGGGACACTAAAATTCTCTTCTCAAGGTTTTCTTTAATTTTTGTCTACACTACTCCCACCTCCCCCCACCACACACACACACTCAACACACTTCACTATTTGGTTTTCTCCTTTTCTAGAGTCTGCACAAGTGCCGGGCCGCAGTCCTTGTCTTCCTTAGCCCAGGGCCTGTTGGCCAGTAGGCACACAGACACTTCGGTGGAATACCTGAGTGGACAGTCCTGCAGGCTGGCCCTTGGAGTCTCGTATGGTTACTGGGGGGCGGTGTGGAGCTGGGACACTGGCCTCTGCATGGTTAGGGTCCCCTCAGGAGACAGAAACTACCCCGTGGTGTGAACAGAGAAAAGTTTAACGAAGAATCACGGTATGAACAGGAGATCGGAGCTGGGGAACTCACTGAGGAGCAAAAAAGGAGAACCGGACAGCTGTGAGCGCTGACTGCTGACTGAGGGAACTCACGGGAGGGGCAAACGTGGAAAGGGGTCTCCCCAAAAGGCTGGGGAATCACTGTTGGAGACGGTGTGGCGGAACCCACTGGATGGTAGCGAAGCTTCCTGGGTAGAACCAGGCCAAGCGAGGGAACCACCTGACCGGGAGCTGGGAGGCGGCCGCAGAGGCGCTGTTCACGGGGACGGGGAGGTGCCGCTGGCCTGGAAACTGCCTGAGACAAGGTGCGTGCTGGGGGGCTGTCAGGGAGACGGAGTGCCCGTGCCGCTGCCCCGGGGGCCACGGACAGTAAGATCTGAACGCTGGGGGGCACACACAAATTGGGAGGGAAAACGCCTTCCTCCTCTGGCGCCCCCTACCTGGGAGGCTGGAGAGCAAGGTGGCGGGCGAAGGGGTGACGTCACTGGTGAGACGTCACCAGGCCAGCTCCGCCTGGGCTAATGGGAGTGGGGAGGAGATGGACTGGAGAGCTGCACCGTGGGAAGCGGGTCACACAGTGGGACATGGGTAACACAGCAGGAAGCGGGCAACTGGCTCAACACCCACAAGAATGTCAAACGGGTCTGAGAACCGTTCCGGAAGTGGTGGCGAAGCCGCAGCTGTGAGTCCTTCCTCCCGGGCGTTGCCCGGGAAGACTCAGGGCCAGGGCTTGGCTGCTGCTGGCGGCGCTGGAAGAGAAGCCCAGGATGCACTCAGTACAGGAGCCCGTCCGAGGCCAGGAAGCGTCCCCGTGTGCCCCCACAAAAGGCCCCCGTGTGCCCTGCATCCAACAAGCCAACGCTGCCTGAGGACACAGAGGGTGCTGGGTCATGCCCCCCCCCCACACACACACACACATGAACACACCTCGCTGTCTGTGGAGGAACATTCGTTCCAGAGAACTGGAGGAACTGATCTTTGAAGTGGCCCTGCCGAGATTCTGCTTGCCCTTAACAGCATCATGAAAGGGTGCAAAATGAGGAGCTTATTTAATTTATGGAAGTAGATTTGCACCTTTTCCACGTTAGGTGAAAAATGGAAATTTCATACCTCTCCTCTGTAGCCCTATATGACCCACTTAAGATTACTATGAAGCCAAACGCCTGTGACTTTGTAACTTTATTAAGATCTGTGTTTTGTGTTTCAGCCCACTGCCTGGGGAGGGCAGCGATGGGCGCATCACGCTGAAGAGCGAGACTGACACCCCGCGGGTGTGGACAAGATGTCCAAAAACAGACATGGACAGCTTGAGGCAGGCTGGAGGGCAGGGAAGCTCCTCGGGAGGACGAGCCTGCAGCGGGAGAAGAGGGCTGCCCGGCAGGCAGGGAGGCGGGGGCACAGGCGCAGGGAGTGGGCTGGGAGCAGAGCGCTTCCTGGGAACCCAGCGGCTATGATGTGATGCTCAGGGTGGTGCAGAAGGGGCAGGAGAGACAGGCCAGGTCAGAGCACAGAGGGGACCCGTGTCCCCCTCGAGGAGCATTTCCGGTCTCTGGCAGCAGCATGTCCACTAGGAAGCCTGCCAGTCTCCGCTGGAGCAGAGCGTATTCTCTACTCTAAAGAGACAGCCCGGCTCTCTGCAACTGCATGTCTGACCTGAGGACTCAGCCTCCAGCATGTGTGTGAGCAACAGAAACATTTGATTTTGTAAGACTCAGCCTCAGCTTTATGCTATACCATCTCACCGAGCAATCAGCTGCTTCCTATCTGTCACTTTCCTTGGAGGAATTACCATAAAACACAGTGTGGCTACTCAAAAAGAAGTGAAATCAGCCATCACAGCCAATTTATTTTTTTTCCCCTGCCACGAGCCAAATGCAACACTCAAAGTTTCCAAAATGTTCACGGATGATTAAACACAAAACTGTCTTGAAGAAGAGAAAGTGCTGCAAATTTGTCTTCTGCTTGCCAAAAACTTATTTTCACATTAGGTTTGGCCGTATGTCACTGTTTCTTGCTATTTACTTTCAAACTCATTTTCAAGTTTCATTTCGTATCATTAACATCCTCATGGGCTTTCTCTCTCAAAAATTCTGTTGCCTTGGACCCTATATCCAAACTCAAGATGCCTGGTGAAGATACTGACACCCTCACACTTGTCTTCACCTCCCCGTGCCCACGTACTAAATACAGACCAGAAAATACTCTTCACAGAGCACTTCATACTCCTGAATTACTTTCAATGAACAGTTCTCCAAATGGAGTTGGTTTTAAATTCTGAAGGGAATAGTGTTGTCCTTGTTTAAGCTATATGATGTTAATTTTAATGATGATTTCAAGGAAGCCTTGGTGAAATAAGGATTGCCATACTGCTTCTCTTACAGTATGTTAAAACTTACTGAAAACACTGGCTATTGTCCTTTTCAAGTAAAATCAATGAAGCAACTTGGGAATCTGAGGAAATAACTGCAGGATCGATTAAGACAGAAAATGCCAATTAAGATGCCCTACAACACAAAACTTAACGGAAACGTAATTATTTTGACATTGTTAGAAGAATTACATTAAAACAGAATTATTTTGACATTGTTTGACATTTAGTTAAGCCCCGTTTTTTATTTTTAAAAATTTGATCATTCACACTGAATGACCAAAAAATAATCTCTGAAGACTAAAAATATACATCATGCCCTACCTTGCTGTCTAATAAACAGCAGCTACTCAATGAGTTCAAAAATTGGCAAAGGTGTATGTCAAGGCTGTGTACTGTCACCCTGCTTGTTTAACTTATATGCAGAGTATATCAAGTGAAATGCCCAGGGGGATGAAGCACAAGTTAGAATCAAGACTGCCAAGAGAAATAACAATAAGCTCAGATATGCAGATGAAACCATCCTTAAGGCAGAAAGTGAAGAGGAACTAACAGCCTTTTGAAGAAGGTGAAAAGTCAGTTTAAAACTCAACAATCAAAAAGCTAACATGGCATTCACTTCATGGCTACTAGATGGGGAAACAATGTTAACAGTGACAGACATTATTTTCTTGGGCTCCAAAATCAATATGGAAAGTGACTGCAGCCATGAAATTAAAAGACGGTTGCTTCTTGGAAGGAAAGCTGTGACAAACCTAGACAGCATATTAAAAAGCAGAGACATCACTTTGCTGACAAAGGTCAGTATAATCAGAGCTATGGATTTCCCGATAGTCATGTATGGATGTGAGAGCTGAACCATAAAGAAGGCTGACCACCAAAGAATTGATGCCTTTTAACTGTGGTGCTGGAGAAGACTCAAGAGTCCCTTCGACTGCAAGGAGATCAAACCAAAAGGAAATCAACCCTGAATATTCACTGGAAGGACTGGTGCTGAAGCTGAAGCTCCAATACTCTGGCTACCTGATGTGAAGAGCT